TCTTTTAGCCGACAAAGCTTACCTCTAAGTGAGTTTGTTGGTTTAAATGCCACCCTAATTCCAACCTTGTTGAGAATCCTACGTATGGTTTCTGATGTTCCTTCCTTGTATGGTATCACAATAGAGGTGTTGATTTCCTTTCTACTTATGTTGTCACTATTATTTGTATTTGTATTAGTGTTATTATTTTGCTTCTTATGCGTCCGTGTGAATTTCTTAATAAAATGATGGGGATAATTATTATTATTAACGCTTCTTTTATGTGTTTCAATTCCTTATTTAAGTCCTTACAATGACTAGTGAGTTTCTCAGCTCTGTTATTTAGACATTTGACTAAACCCGCTTTAACTGACACTGGATGAGATGACTTGAAGTCTAGATACCTGTTAGAATGTGTTGGTTTTCTGTAGACGGTAGTATCTAAACCACCATCTATCCTTCGTTTTATTCTGCAATCCAACATAGGTAATTCTCCTTGTTCATTTTCTACTTCGTAGTGAATTGGATTGCGTTAACTACTGAGTTTATGTGTGTCAAGAAACTGTCGATATGTTCCGATTTCAACACTGTAAATGTGTCATCTACATATCGCCACCATATCTTAGGTGTCGGATTATATGTTCGTAAAGCCATATCTTCCCAACTATCCATAAATATATCTGCTACTATAGGGGATATTGGTGATCCCATTGCTACTCCTTCTGTTTGTCTGTATATCTTTCCCTGAAACTTGAAGACTGTCGAGGTTAAGCATAACTGCACTCCTAACATGATTTCACCAACCGATGCCTTGGTTCTTTGAGTAAGTTGTGAGTCAGTATCTAGTTGATTTCTGACTGCCTCCAGTGCCATATTGATTGGTATTTTAGTATAAAGACTTGTTACGTCAAAACTAACCATTTTTTCATCCTCTTCTATGTGCAGGTCATTAAGTTTTTGTTTCAACTCGTAAGAATTTACTAGTCTAGAGTTGGAACGGTCTCTAACAGGACGTAATACTGATGCTAAATACTTTGATATCTCATATGTTGGTGTGTTTCGGAAGTCAACTATCGGCCTAATGGGATAACCTGCTTTATGAACCTTAATAGTACCGTAAATTCTGCTAGGATTATTAGTTTTTGGCATTAAAGTAAACCATTCGGACTTACCTAGAGATGGCTTCAGTCGGCGTATCAGATCTGTTGTAGATTTCTTAATTTTATTCATGACAGTATCTATAGGTTTCTTAATCTCTTCATATGGCCCTGTTTGGATATGTTCATCCATTTTTTTAAGATAATCCGATTTGTCCATAACTACTGTTGAGTTACCTTTGTCAGATTTAGCAATTACTATACTATTATCCTTTCGTAGATTGTTTAAAGCTGAATTTTCCAGTTTCGTTAAGTTTCGCTGTGTCTTCTTTTGTTTTTTAAGTGCTAATGCACACTGCGCTCTAACCTGTTCAGCAGTTGTCACATCCACCGAGCTTAATGCTACTTCTATGCTAGGTATGACATCTTCTGGTTTTAGATGATCTACTGTTATGTTGAAGTTTAGTCCTTTTTCAAGTACTTTCATCTCAGCTGAGCTTAAGGCTTTCGATAGAACAAAGTGGGTAGTCAAAAAGCCAGCGATGTCATCTTTTACTCTAGCTACATTCTATTTTAAACCGGTCAGACAGATATGTTTAAGTTTTTTTCACATCGGCAGTGTCACTGAAACTCGAAATGACTATTCATTTCTTCAAGAAGAGCCATTTCAATCCCGTTGATTACTTTGTATGCACTACAGTGAATAAAACTGAGGTTCCAAAAAAGCTTTATATAATTCTTCTTGAATTGGCAATCATGCCTCAAATATCCAACTGTCTGTTTTCGGAGATCTTTGTAAGTATACTACAATAATTATAAATAATGGCCTACTTGCATGAAACCAGTTAAGTTATAGTAAAGTATGGGTGGGAATATCGACTCACGCATCTGGCTGGATATGGCATATCTAAATTGTCAATTTCAACTGGAAACCAAAAATTTTCACTAGTGTTCAAAACCTTTTATTTTTCATTGAGTAGAAGTAATGATAATAATTCACGTTTGGTTTTATTTCACGATAACGATGGATAATAGCTGCTTCAGAGAATCTGTTTTAAAATAACACAATCTGTATGACTGACAACTCGAAATGTGTACCAGAAATTTACGGATCTTGATTTTATCTTCAGCAGCTTCGATTGACTTGGTTACCTTATCTATGATACCGTTGAAGAGCCGGTGTTTGCGTAGCTACAAGAAAAACGATATACCTGTTGATGATGCTGTACGTTAATGATAAGCTGATAAATTTGATAAAGATAAATAAAGCAAATACTTTGAACCATTATATACACAGGTTACAAGTGGAATGGCTGAATTCTACCTGCTCTAATTAATAGCTAGTGAGTTACGATACATCTATCTACTATTTTCATGAAAAACATTTTTAAGTTCGATTTTTTTGTAATTACCTACACTCTGGACTAGTTCTACTTCGCTTTCTGTGAAGCAAGTGTGTCTCACTGTTTATTTCCTTTCTAGTTTGTGATTGCAGTCCACTACTTATTGCTACCCTTTCACCGATGCAGAAGTTAACGACTTTTGACTTCAAACTTATGTTGCATGTTATCAAGAAAATGATCAGTAATTTTATATTGCCTTTATTGACCTCAAGATTGTCATTTCTGAAGGATGAAGCTTATATTAGACTTCCGTCTTTATGCGTTTCTGAAGTGATGAAAAAGGGAAACACTATGCTTCTCTGCCTGAGAAACTGACAACCTTCCATCATAAGAATCACTAGCTGTGTTATCATAATTTTGATAAGTTAATCATAATCTAGCTGATGGCTAGCAGTGGATGCTCATTTTGACTTATTTGGGACTCATCGGCTGGATGTACTTGCATCCCAGTAAGTAATATTATTGTATGAAATATACCTGTCAGGATATGAAAGAAGAACAGCTAAGAGTTCGTTTTCAGTGATTTCATTTTAAGCTGTGCAATCTCAAATTTATGAGTATTTGAGTATTTGATAATTGAAACGGTTCATCATGCATAACAATAGTAATAGTAATAGTGTCAATTTAAATCAGAAACTAAAAATCTAATGAGTAGTGAATAAGAATCAAAATAAATTTGTATAAAAGTAAAACTTGTGCACTGTTACAATATAGCTCCATTTTTATTGATTTATTAAATTTGTCACACAGTGTAACAGTATTCTTTACTGGATTACATTTCGGATATTTTAAATTTGGACAAGAAGTTTCGTAACATGACGTTATAATTGGGAATTGATTTATGAGTAGGCATAACATAGCAACAAGAATGAGTAGCAAACTACTCAAGAAGTGAATAGTGTCAAAAGAGAAAGATGAAAAGAAAAAGGGGGGTAGATGAAGCTGGAAACTAAGATCATCAAAGAAGAAGGTGTTTAACATTCTTTTGTGTACACAAGTCACGTTTCTGCACATGGATGGCAAAAGCTTCGGCGATGCAGAGAATACGAAGACATACAGTCTTTTGGAGGTTTCTTTTCACTTAATAGATGACTTTGGACGAGGAGGCTATTGAGATAGGATGATTAGTGTTACAGATGTGTTCAGTTATATCACTTCTTATCGCTCCATTGTTACTTCTTTTTAACCAAGTGGAGATAGCGTTCTTGAACCGTTTTGGATAACAGTCGCAGCGAACGACCTATATGCCTGGCTTTACAAGAGCAGGGGAATTGATATATGCACACAGAAGTGGTCAGATGTAAAAGTTTCTCCTTTGAGTTGTAAAAAGTAGTTGGGTGACAAGAAAATACTAATTGCAGCGTTGATGCAAAGAATGTTCTCTTTGGAGCGTTTGATATCCTACATTTTTATATTGTTGTCGCTGAGACTCAAACCTATTACCTAACAATTCAAACTCCAAGGCGTTATCCATTAGGCCACTGGAGCATGAGAGCTAAGCTGAATTATGTTGAAATAAACATAAGTCTTACTAAATGCTTCTCGAGTCAACTAGCCAATAATTATGAAGATAATTATATTACACTGATTACATTGAAGTTCTGATAGGAGTTATTTGAAAGTGAAGACCAAAACAAGAGTGTATAGATGTTTTAGTTCAAAATATATCTCCTTCATGACTCATATCGAAGTCTAGATATCGAACACTACAACATAGGGTACATTTTTTCGCGTAGAACGTTTGGCAATATGTCTGAATAGTTATTTTAAATAGACTCTACGAAATATGTTATTTAGTCAATACTTTAGACTAGTCTTCAATATTCTGGGTTAAATAGTGAATTATTAACTCACCAATCATCTCTATAATGATTGACTTCCATTTGATGACAACTTTAAGTGATTGAATGCTACACATTCAAGTTGAATTATATTTCATTTAAAGTTTTTCAATTACAGAAGTCGAAAATTTCTACAATATTTTCCCAGGTTAATTATCACCATATGTTAATGAACTACTTACACCTATCGACAAGTTAAGTAGACACTGTGATTAACAAAAATAAACTTTTATACAAACAATCATTAAGGGTCTTGTATACACTATCGCCTAATTTATAAAGTTAGGATACTTTCAGAAAAGTGTGTCACTGTTACTATCTGTCACAAATTGTCTGGTCCATAAATAATTTAAATGAGAATAAACTTATTATCTGAACAAGAGTATCAGTTTCTCAAGGTGAAAGACCTAATAGACTGATAAATTTATTTCACTATGAAATATTCTTATCACTATAACTCACACAATGACTAAATAGTTCACATGTCTATTCAGTTGAATAAATGGTATTTATCACCAATATTTTATCCTTATTACAAGACAGTTTTAAGCTTAACCCTATTATACGATAAAGATATATAGGAGTAAAACTAGTCAGTTTTCTTAGTACGTTTATTACTAGTTAGTAAATCAATGCAAAATTAATAAATTTTCACCTTCTTTTTAAAAATGTTATTTCAGAGGTATCTACAGATTGCCAAAAGGTGCAGATCATCCAGTTGACTCAACAGCTGAACGATTTACACCAGCTGAATGTCAAAAAGCTGCTAATGAACTAGGTCTTCGAAGAAGACAAATGAGATTCTGTTTGGATTCACGCTTTGGTTATGCTATGCTTGCTGTACTCAGAGCTGCACATGCTGTTGGTTATCATTGTCCAAAAACATTTTCTGATAGACGATGGAATTGTACTTCTATTCATCAACTGCCACATGTATCACCAGAGTTAAAACGAGGTGATTTTTTTTTTACTTTGAACCTTCTTTTGGTTTCAGTAATTTTAAGACTAAAGTTACGAAACATAGGTGACATAAAAGATGTGACAGTACCTTTTTTTCTGTGTACAGTTTTTCACTAGTTTATAGCAAAGCACTCATGAATGACTAATTACTTTGGTGAGTACAACATAAACAAAACTTATTTCGATTACTTTGTGACCAACATTTTGAGCTTCTTTGACACGATCATCGAAGTATTACGGGCACCTATTATCAAGCAAACATTTCTGTTGAGGTGGTGTATAGTTGAGTACTAATCTATGGTACGAAAGCCGCAACAATTAGTCAATATAATTTAGAGTCTTCTACTGAAACTTGTGGTTTCCTATTGCTATAGTGGGTCAAAATACTTGAACTCCGTTAGCAGATGGGCTGGTATGTGAATGCTCCGATATTGCTCGGATATTCCCTAGACTTTAGCCTACTTGGTGGCTATCAGTGGAATCCGAGATACGTATTTCGTCCTATTTCCAAACGGTCTCAGTGAGAACAACATTATTACTCACTGTAGTGCATACGAATTTGGCTGAAGAGTCCCAAGTAGTATGAAAAGCTCCTCTTGGCTTCGATTGTTAGCCACCAATTAAACTACAATGTGATTTATAATTATCCGACTTTAAACTAACTGATAGATTTTAATGAGCAAGTTATTGATAAACTAAAGCCTTCGATAAAAAAACATTTAGTGGGCCACGTTTAACAGCAAATCTCATTAGGATTTTCTACAAAGTCTTACGGAACTGCCTACTATCACCCATGATCTTCCTGATTGTGGTGGACTGGATTATGCAGCAAACCGTGAAGAGCGAGAAGATGGAGATACGCTGTTTGACTGATGAAAAGAGCCTCGAGGGTTCGGATTACGCCGATGATGATTTATGTCTGTTTTATGTCGCACCAACTCGAAGATCTACAGGCGAGAACTAACAAGTTGACAGAAGAGACAGAGAAAACAGGACTTCAAGTGAATGTGAAGAAGATAGAGGTGATGAAGATACCCAATCAACAACAAGCACCAATCACCATTAACTGGAGGAACCTAAAGGAGGTAGTCTTCTTCACCTACCTAGGCGTCACAGATGAGAATGTCAAGACCCGGATCAAAAAGACAGCAAGACAGGCTTTCATCAATTTGAAATTACCGTGGAGATCTACGACACTCAGAACAAAGAACAAGATTCGAACTTTCAACACCAGCGTTAAGTCAGTGCTACCATATGGTTCAGAAACTTAGCGCGTCACGAAAATCTTTTCCAACAAACTATAGGCATTCATCAACAGCTGCCTACTCTGGATGCTGGAGATCAGATAGCCGGAAAAAATAAGCAACAAGAAATTCGCTCTGGTTGGCAATGAACCATCCAAGAAACTATCACTCAATAAATATTCAGAAGAAAGTGGAGATGGATCGGGCATACACTGAGAAGGCTGATTGGGGACATCATGTGCCATGCCAGACCTTCGAGTGGAACCCAAAGGAAAAATGAGTTGGGTGTCCGAGGCGAGGGTGACATAGAGGAGATCATTTGAGGGAGAAATAAAAGTTTGTAGGCATTCGTACAGCTAGGTTTTGAGGACTACAGAGAAAACAGTGCAATGGAGGCGTGCTAGTGAAACCCTATGTTCCAGTAGGGACGCAAGGGAAAAATATTGATAATAATAAAAATAAATACAGGACTGCATTTCAACCATCATTGTTTTGACGGTGAGCCAATTCCAGCTTATGAATGGTAAATATTCACCAATGATAAAAGCAACTATGAGCCAGAAATCTGTAAAGACAACATGAAAATACAATTATGAATAAAGGAAATAGATTAAAAAAAACTTAGTAACATTGAAGTTATATTTAATTGTATAGTTTATGAATATTTGATTGAGCGAAAGCCTGTTTCGACTGTTGATTGACGCTAAGTGAAAAAAAATATAGGAAAGCCCAGTTTGAAACTTCACATAAGTGTATAAACAGGAGTTGATACAATGACGATTAAGATCATCAGGCAGTTTTCAAGTAATGAGATCAGATGTGAAAAAAGATACCAACGGATGACAGAAAATGTTTATCGCAGCATAACTCAAAGTACGGACTTTCCATCAAGGATTATGAATCAGATTTACTCTTCGGTAAAAGGAATCAGGATAATCGTAAACATATTCGATATTGATTGTCATTTGACTATCTAAGATAACTGTAGTTTGGCAGACTAATATTTTTACTGGGTGATGATTGAAGGTGGAATGAAAATCCGGCTGTGGTCCAAAATCTCATTTCACCTTCAGTCATCACCCAGTATAAATATTCGATATTATTTACTTTCAAAATAGGTTATTTTGTTAACTGGATACACCAGATGAATCCTTTTATATCATGGTACAAATATTTTGGTCTAGATCATGAATGTGGCAAAGCTTCAATATAAAAATGACGGTAGATGACGCTTTTTGATGCCTACTTCTTAGATATTACAAAAGGCAATAAACCAAAAGATAAAAATTACATTTAAAAGACCATCCAAGGTGTAATGTGAGGTTTTGTACCTTATCTTCCTACCTTATTCTGATAAATTAAAAACGACTTTAATCAGAGACAGTCTACAAATTAATTCGTATTAAAACCTGATGTAAAGTAGCTAGTGATATAATCTAGGATATGCATTTCATCTCTTTTGGAACTTGTCAGATTTTCACGTTTAGATTCGTGTTAGTATTTTCAATGAGATTTGAATTAATTATTCATTCACTGGGTTGTTGAGTGACATAGGCCACCAACTGCTCGAAAGGCACATGTCGTAGTGGAAGATATAATTCATTTTAATTTATGATAAGCTTGAAGAACCCAGAAACTTCAGGTTCAGCGACCAGTATGTTGCCATTGGTGAATTCCAACCTGGAATCATTTGGTAAATCTCCACAAACCTCCAGATGGAATTACTCTAGTGCCCATTGATCACTGGTTTTGAGAGATGATTCCCAGATTTCAAATGAGAAGTCGTACACCAATAAAGCCAACCAAGTCAAACTTGAGGGCAATTACTCAACGACAGTATTCGATAGAGGTCATGCTATATCGTGAACTGATAGGATTAGGAAATACGAACCACTGGATTCTGACCTAACTGCTCAATAGTAACATGCTGGCCGTGGGACCTGAAGGTTCTAGGGTTAATCCTTGGTTGGGTCATGGGTGCACACTGCTCAAGAGTCTCATACTAGGACGAAACAGGTGTTCATTGCTCTCAGGTTTCCAATATTCCTCCAAATGATGTCAGTCCATGATGAATTCTAAACTGAAACGTCCACCTATTTGTCTAATAAATGTACATCCAGATAAAAAAGGGATACTTGATAAAAGGTAATGGGCTTCACGACGTGCAAAGTAACTGTCTTATTCTAAGAGGTGCTAACAGTAGTGTTTTGATTTCCTTGCTTCGACCTATAAACTCCTTAATGTTTGATGAAGCAAGTCGGTATCCAATATCGACTCAGTGAATTAATTAAGACCTACTCAAGATTTCAAATTTTACATCATTATAAGCTAATTCCTGTGAGATCTAGTAGTTAAAATAAAAGTTTCCATATAATATATTACTGTCATGACCATATCCGAATATGTGTACTCATTATGTACCTCAAACAGTACGCTAAAGTTTAGTATATTGCAACACAAAGATTCCTAGATTTTTCTATTGAGATGTATAATATATTCAGAGAGGTTTAAATCAAACGGTAAAACTATTCACAGCACCAGATAGTTGAAATTGGCAAGAATAGTTGTCTGATTATCTTGATGCAGTAGTGTCTCAAATTCGGTTCTGTGTTGTACTGCCTGACGTCACAGATGGATGGTGATGAGTCAGTGGAGCATGAAAACCTTCAACAGATCATGATACACGTGGCAGTAACTTAGAAATCATTCTACAAATAGGGGATTGTTATACTTTTATTGATTGTTTACTGAAGAGTAAATTTCAGTTTATATGTTCATGGGAATCAACGAAATCCTATTGATCAGGTTTATAAAACTGACATTCTCGTACAATTCCCCGAACTGCTTTAACCAGAAAAAGGCATTGCTTCCTCTCCAGTTACTTTTCGATGTATATTGTTTTATCCTACAATAAGTCAATAGTGGCCAGAATAGTTCAGGAACAACGTCTCTTACTACAACTTTGAGTGGTGCTAATTTGGATACTTAAATTAGTGCCAGTCCTTTTAAAGTTACAAACTCACGAAAATGAAGAGTACTGACAAGCACAAAATTTAAGTAAGTCGGGGTATTCTAAAGATTGCTTTCGATAACCTAAGAGTATCATATTTATCAACTCTTTCATGAAAAAGCATCTGTAATGCAGTTGTTGATACAGTTTGTTGCATACAATATTGAAATCAATGCCGTTTTGTTAAAGCGTTCCAATTTTGTATTTATGAGGTTAACCAGCATCTGAATTAATATCACAATTCTTTGCAGGTACTCCATAAGCCATCCCATTCATCTGACTAAAACCTGAGAGTTGAACTTAATAAACCTTCACAATGCTAAGATGATTTTATCTCCAAACTACATTCTAAATCTGTTGCTTGATTCATACATTAAGACGATTCAAGATGGTGACACGTTGCAAACCTATGACTTGTTAACGTTTGCTAACTAGTGGGATGCTATTCCATTTTAGTACTAATTAGCGAATTGAAGATATTCACTGGGAATAGTTCTTTCCTAAACGATTAGTAGTTAAACATTAACGACTCAGATTTGAGCTCTATACAGGTGTAGTCTTGAATTCATGTAAAATGCTGTTTGACAGGCACCGAAAGGGAAAAAAATCTTTACCAACTAGAAATTTCTTATCTGAAGAAATATTACTGATCAGCCTGTGAAATTACTTTTGATATAGTTTATTTAAATGAGATGTAGTAAGATTCTCATGTTAAATTTAGAAGTTATTGTAAGATATTTTTATTTTATCTTCTAAAACCGAATTTAAGGCACACGTGAACAAGCCATTGTACATGCATTTGCCAGTGCAGTTCTATTATTCGAAATTGGACGATATTGTGCTTTAAATAAAATTCGATACTGTTCATGTGGTGATGAAGATGGAGCTTACTCTACTCCAAATTATCCATCATCTCATTCATACACAACAAATAACAATCTACCTGGACAACAACATCGACAGAATGTATACAGTGATTTCTCTGGTGCATTAGTCTACAACTCTGGTGGCAATTCCTTAGATCCGACTGATACATCGAAGTCAGGTAGTATACCGATGACAGATGGTCAACCGACAGTGAGTAAATTTTATTGGGCTGGTTGTTCAGACAACTTACGTGTAGCTAAGGAGTACACATCACTGTTTCTTGGTTTTCCAAATGTACAAGTTATGCTACCTCCACCGATTGAGTCGGAAAATCCTAATGTTGATTCAATGCAAGATATGAACAGCCAAAATCGTTATAAAAGGTCTGCATATTCTTCTCATGTTACAGAACACACTTTATATTCAACAGAGTATTCGGAAGCATCCAAATTGCATATTGATCCCTTTGTATCAAATTATGCTGATGAAGAAGATGATAATGAAGACGAAGAAGGAGAAATTGATGACTCACAGCTATTCCTTTTACAAAAAGAATATACAGATAGACGGCGTCGGAATTTACATAGATCATGGTCATATCAACCAACACCACAGAATAATATTTATCCCCAGTACAATCCAGGAAAACCAATGTACAATTCATTGCAAAATGGAATTGATGAAAATAATCGACCTAGTCAACATTATGCTGATCAGAGATGGCCACGTCGTCCTAGATCGAGAAATGGTAAAAAGAAATCCGTGATACGCACTTTGAATCGGCACAACTACCTAGCAGGTGTTGTGGTAAGTCTACACATTAAATTTTCCCCACTGTTATTCTTCAAGATGTTTAATGTGCGCTTGCTGATTAACGTGATTTTCAGCTTTTACTAAAGTCAACACAGTTATCACCACGCCATAAACATAACTTGACCAACTAATATAAAGCTTTTCATTCACCACAAATGTCACTTTGATTGAATGCTTAAAAAATATGTCTGAAACTTTGGTTTGCCCAAGCAAACCAATACAAAACGAAATGTATAGTCAATAAATATGGTTAGCTGTTTTCAGGTGCTTTTTAAGCATGTATGACGCGTTGCATCATGGCTGCTTGTAGCAATATGTGTACACAACATCCTAGTGTACTGTAAAAGGGTTGTTGTTGTGGAAGTTTTCTGTACACCTGAGCATGCAAAGCCTTAGGATCCATCAAACTGATGGACATATCTAAAAATGACATTTCTTTCTTTTTGCTCCTCCTTCTATGTATTTAATTCCTCTGGCTCTTTAGATGGTTACTTTGAACTAGTTGTATATTTAAATAATTTTGTTAATCAACCAAAACCTTATCAATCTACATGATTTACAGTTAGTTCTCAAACAAGAGAACGATAGACTTTCTCTGTGCCATGCTGCCTTAAAAATCAATACTATTATTTTATTGGCCAATTGTGAGAACTGACAAACCAATTCTTTATACAGACATTATGATCGCTGATTTCACGCGACCTGTCAATGAAACGTTTACTAGTAAAGACCAAAGCCTAAAGTGCACGACATTTGTGTAATTACGTCTTTGAGTATTTGTCCCCACATTAGACTTGGTTTGCTCTACAGGTCACGACTTCTTTGCGGAACTTCCAAGAGATCTCTTCTCGAAACAAGTCACTAAAGAGCACTTGACAGTTTGGAGTTTTGTGAAGATTTACTGATTTCAAGGAGGTATATATCCCAAACTGACTGTAGTTGGGGAACTATTGAGAATCAGGGAGCAATGGACGGCTGCTTTGTCTTATTGTAGGACTGTACAGGATAACGCCTTTACGACTCCGTCAGGGATAAAGCTAAGAACCTCCAGGCATCTCGATAAACACGTTAATTATTAAATAACTGGGTTGGAGTTCAGTCATCCGAAATTTCCTATTTCTGTCAACTAGCGATGTAGTATAACTATCCACGGAAATCTTCAATCGGTATCCGATTCCTTTCCTAATAGGCCACAGCATCTTATTATAACATTACAGCTTTCTAGTACTGATAGGTTTTTAATGGTTCTGTAACTGATATCGGTCTATGATGAATACTATTTTGAAAAAAGACATATGTATGATTAAAAAGTTTATACCTTTTTAAGAAGTTGTAAGGCATTGAGATAGAATTATCAAACATGGAAATCGTTTCGTTGACCTTGAAAGCATTAATGCCTATATGAGTTGGTCACCAGTAAGCAACTAGCATAGCAGTTTGATCCTTAGCTCTGAAAACTGATAGAAGTTTATCTGTCTAATTCTGCTATGTGGTTATAAGACAAAGTGACATGACTCTGGAGTACATTGAAGATTGGTGCTTGAGGGCAATATTCCTTTAGTAGAGCTTTCTCCAGATTAATTCTCAGTATTCTACAGCAAAATTAATGTGTTCTGTATATTTTTAGAGGCATTTTCTTCAATATTGAGCATAAAAACGAATAATCTTAGATCAATTTTGAAAAGAAGGATTCGAATCACGGAATATAAAATTAGGCTTCACGAAAAATGTTGGACCTTTTTTGTGTTGTAAAATTTTACTTTTAATCAGCTGATCAACCTATCTTTAGTTTATGTACTTATGAATGAGGCTTAGGATACATTATATTTCTTTCAGGGGATCAAGTTATTACGCTTTAAAACAGAATTCAGATATGGATAGCCTGGAATAAATCAGTTACTACCATAAGTCATTAGGAATTCACGTTAAAAAACATACGATAACCGTCATTCATGAGGCAGGAAGTACAAAGAGCTAAACAAATCACCGGTTTCGAAGATGCATATATCACCTTACCTGTATACTTCATCAGAAGAATACTGAGGTGTTCTTCTACTTTACTTAGAAGTTCCAGAGAGTAGGGAATAAAATAGTCATATAGTTTGCATTCAGACAGGCTTCTGTGTAAAACCCACGTGCTTCGCTCTATTCTAGAGAGAAACATCACTATCTAATTTTGAGCTGTTAATAGACATACAAATCAGGTGAGCAATTACCAGGAGCTTTATTGCATTGCTTCTCAGACCACATAAATTGATCATTTTTGCATTTAAGACACGACTTACAGTATTTGTTCAGTAGCATATAAAAGTATTGGAAAAGATTTCCACTCCAATAAACTTCAATAGTGTTATTGCTACTTACAGTGTGTTTCAACCTACTGTCTATACATTAAATATCTCCATTTCACGTTTTCCCTCAAGATGTTGAATAAACTGTGCCGCTGATATCATTACTTTTCTCTAATAATTGGGTTAGACTATCTGTTATTCCACTTTTCAAAGAGGTTTGATTCGTTTTAGTATTTCTATAATTTTAATATCTTACAAAGAAAAAGTCTTCCTGTTTTAAATGTTTTTAGAATACTGAGGATATTGTGATGATTTTCATTTAAAATGCACTTCTCTTTCATAAGTACAAGTAGATTTACTTTCAGTTCAACATTAGACACAACTGAAATAGCTATGAAACAAAAAAATTATTGTCTTCCCATGATGACAAGTGATTCTGCTGGATTACTAACAAAGGAAAATTCAATGAGCAAAATTTTCTTTTCATTGAATCAATTTCAAAAAATATACACTCGCAGTTATAATTACGATACATATATACATCAGTAGCTAAAGTGTCAATACAAGGTCATTGTCAATAGAGTCACAAGGTGATAATGGCTAGAAGGTCAGCCCAAGGTCACGATGTTAAGAATTCGTGACATTTCATATCAAGTTGAAAAACTACAAAAATTTGTAGTAAATCCTGGCAATTTTTGACACTTTATAATATAGAGTTATCTTGAAGGTTTTAAACACCAGCTCTGATTGGATGAAATGACCTATAATAACTACCTATCAGTAATTACAAGATACTCTGTTTCTATGGTAGTTGCTTTTTAAATAAATGCTTAAAATAGTTTGTGAAAATCTCATGGGTAAATTATCTCCATTTTCTGTTTACACAAAGAAAGTTGTATACTATAAGTGCAAACTTATGAAGGGCTGAGTAATTCAGAATGCTAAAAAGTTGAATGAATAAAATGCTCAACGAAATACTTCCAGAGTCTATTAATTAAAGACGAACAAAATTTTAAAACAAATCCCATAGAAAAATACACTGGATCAGCTAATTTATGATATGGCTATCCACTCAGTCAGAAACTGTTTAAAATGGATTGAAAAGATGACTGAATGCAAAAATAAGCTCCTGCAATTGTAAAGATAATTAAATAAAAATTTTCATTTTTGATTTTGTACAAAAGTCAATTTCTTAGTATTTTTCTATCTCAACTACTCACTTTGGTGGAACAGTTTCTATCTTGTACAACCTGATAAATATATCTGTTATGCATTTTTGTAATCTTACACCCTATTTTCAGCTTTTAACCATTATTCTATTTAATAATACTAATAATACAGAGATTATTCAATGAGTTTACCTACTTCCCACTGCCATAGATACATAGTAGTGCATTTAATGTCACCTCATATCTCACAGGACTAATATCACCTTCAGTTTTACTACCCACCCATGCATCTGATTGCTGGTAACCATCCTATTTCTACTCAGAATCATTCAAATATCAAACTTGACGAGATATTTGATAAGATCTACGCCTGTGTAATTGTATAATCACTGTAGGAGGTGAATTCTAATAAATAATATCGTATAATCATGTGGCTTTATGATGATCCATTTGATCTAAAAAATAAGACAATAATAGCACAGAAATAGGCAGAATTAGAAAAACCCAATTAAACTGTGTTAAAGTGACTATGATCCCAAGAATTATGTGAAAAGTGGTTACTTTCATTGATTTTATAGATTTACAAGATATATTAAAGGACTCTGAATATTTTAATTTGAAAAAATGACAGACTTATTCAAACTAGTCTTTTCTGTGGAATCGTCTCATCTTATAGACAAAAACATCTAAAAAGTTCTTGTTTTAAAAACTGAATATAAATCTAAAGGAAGTTTATCATCTCGTCACCTGATGTCAAGCTTCCATTTCCTGAAATATTCGTTGACTTATCTGATGAAACTAAGGATGATCTTGTAGTCCTAATGATAAAGTTCTGATTAATAAGTCTGATGATTCTGAGCTCATTTCCTTACTAAGTTGTTAGAGCACACTTTCCAATGGTCTCAAACTAGAACAAAGTAGCAGTCCAGTGATGGTAACTTTCAACAGTTATCTAGCTGATATTAATTAGCCTTTGCTGAAACAAAACTTTGAAATCAAACAATCCCTATAGATTATCCATTAAACTTATAAAAGATCAGTTTCTCTTTTTCTTTGATTTCTAAAACCTCTTCTATACTAATTTCTAAGTTCATTCATATAGTCTTCAATTCAGTCAATCTTGTTTATTTCAATATTTCAGTTGCATTAATAGTCAGTAAGGCAGTTCATGTACTTGAAAGACTTTTAAGAATTATGCAACCTGAAGTCACGAGAAATTCAATATCAGGCTTCTTATATAGAAGAACATAGAACTTGCTTTGGAACGAAAAGAGATTAAATATTAAGATCTTCATATAGTCATTTACGTGATCCAGAGATTTCTACAAATATATTACTAAACAATTTAGTTATATGCACACTAAAATACTTCTGGGCTGTCGTGGAACCAAGTTCAAAAGATCTCAGAGAAAAGAGGTCACTGGAGACGTGCTACTGAAGCCCTATGTTCCACTAGGAACCCAAGGGACTAATAAAATAGGTAGACAGATTTATTAGAGCATAATTCTTTGGTAATCCTAGTGTACAAGATTCA